AGTAGGATAACTATTGTAAGGGTTATTGCCGAGTTTAAAATGAGGAAACCGAGGCCAGTATAAGAAAATGAAAATCCAATTTATTCAGCTCCCGGGCGAGGTTCCATGGTCCCGGGGAAAGAGGCCAGGGAAGTTGCGCCAACTTCCTGGGGCGTAGGGTTTTTATAGGTAGGAGGAACGAGCAACAGCTGGGTGCTCTGATTGACTCCAGGGGAGCGGGATTGAGACGGGGCGGCTTTTCGGGTGGGAGAGCCGGCCCGGAGCCTTGCATCAGCTGGAGCCTTCTAGGGGAGCCACGAGGCAGAGCTAGGTGCCGGGTGCAGAGGTGGGTGTGTCCAACCTCCCAACTAGGCAACCGGCCTTACAACTATTCTTATGTTAGGGACAAAGATTGTCAATTTCACTACCTCTGTTGTTAATAGTAAACACAGTTTCACTGTCATGAAAAGTGATACAGCAACATATAAACAAAACCTAGTGAAAAGAACACGGGAAGAGGAAAAACAACAGTAGGTGTTTGAGTAATGGCATTGGGGGTGAATTTTGTTTTTACATTTTTTATTATTTTTGATGTTATTTGTACCTTTAAACTTTTGGTTCATTAACACATGCTCACTCATGGAAAATTTTTAGTTAGGTGAGTATGAACTCATTTTGTTTATTTTTGTGCTAACTATGAAAGAGATGTTAACAGAAATTACAGATTTAAAAAACATTGTTTGGAAGGGGAGGTGGTTTGCTTAATCTGAGAATAAATTATTTTTTGGCATTACCTTAGACTCATCGTAGAAATAGACAATCTAAATTCTTTGTTATAGCCACATTTGTCAGGACTGAAGACACCAGTTGTGTTTTAATCATAAGATCACAGTATTGTAAGTACTTGAAAATGATATATTTGATTTTCTTTAAGAATCTCCTATAATCTTATTGTACCAATTCTAGGCTTTCACCTTCTTCTCCTAGCCCCCCACCCTCACCCCAATCTAGCATTGCTGGAGCAACCTTCCTAAAGACTAGCTTCCTCATGGCACTCTCCTGCTAATACTTCAGTGGGTCCCCAGTGCCACGTGAACACTTTTGTGTGTTTTTTTTTAAGATGTAGTTTTGCCCTCTCACCAGACTGGAGTTCAGTGGTGAGATCTTGGCTCACTGCAACCTTTGCCTCCTGGGTTCCAGCAATTCTTCTACCTCAGCATCTCAAGTAGCTGGGATTACAGGTCCATGCCACCACACCCGGCTAATTTTGTATTTTTAGTTACAGACAGGGTTTCACTATGTTGGCCAGGCTGGTCTCAAACTCCTGACCTCAAGTGACCAGCCTGCCTGGGCCTCCCAAAAAGCTGGGATTACAGGTGTCAGCCACCGTGCCCAGCCCCCTGTGAACACTTTTGGTTGACGTTTTCTCAAAGTTTTCTATAATTCGTTCTCACATACTATACGACCTTCTCTTCTAAATCTCCAACACAAAACTTGCATTTCTCCTACTGAAAAACCCTTCCCTCTCCTTTCAACTGATCTAAGTTTTAGCTTGCCTTCCAGTTTAATTTCTGTGCCATCCAACTTAAGAAACCTTCCTGAGAATCACAGCACAATTTGGTAGCTCTTATTTCTGAATTTCCATAAAAACTTATTACACATACTTCTATTATCACACCAGCATAAATATATTGAATTATTTAAAAATTCTAAATATATGTATTATTTTTAAACCAGATTAGTGTCCCTTACAACAGCTACCTTTCATTATACTTACTTCATATGTTTCCTAGCCCCTATTTATTATACAGCCAAGAACTGTTAAGTTGTAGTAGACAATCCATGAGTACCTGTTGAATGAATAAGGGTAGACAACGCTGTACTCATCCAGCAAGCAAGATGCTGATTCCAGCATTGCTCTATTTTAATCACAGTGATAGTGGCCAAGGCAGTTAATATTTTTGGTTCCCCGTTTTCTCATCTATGAAAGGAACCAGTAAAAGAGATGATATTTTAATTCAGGCTTGTCCCATTTCCAGTGAATATCTATCTCACTCTATCACCAAGCCTTCCCTTGAGAATCCTTGTCAGTGGTGATCTGAGAAATTCCTTTCAACAACCCCTCACGCAGCATTCACAGGGGGAATCGGCTAAGATAACTTACTTCCTGTTACTCTTGCGTTTCAGCCTTTGTCCTATGTCTGGAGACTTCTTGGAAGCTGGAGCACACAAATAGCTACAGCAAAACTTGAGGAATGGGCATGAATAGACTGGCTTCGGGGAACCTGCCAGCTTGGCTGTGTGGCCAAGGTAAGAGGCAAGCCAAGGCAGAGCTAGAGCTCAGAGCTGGAGGGTAAATTAAAGCAACAAATGTAGAAATATTAAGCCTGAAGAGGCGACAACGTTGAACTCTAAAATGCAGGCCAAAGCTCAGACTTCAAGCCGTCTGGCTGCTCCTGGAGTGCCCAGAGGTCAAAGTCCAGCAGGAGCAAAGGTGGGGGTGTGGTCCTGGAATGTGGAGTGTTGGAGGGATGTGCAAGAGGAGGCACTTTAAGGTCCAGAGATTCCAGCTGCCTGGTGTACCCTTGGAAGAATAAAGGGCTAGGAACTGGATAAGTCAGGCTCAAGTCCAAGCTGCCTAAGGAATCAGGGAAAGAATGGAGCTCAGAGTGAAAGGTCAGGGCAGCATCTAAAAACCCAGGATAGCAGCAAAGCTGGCAGGGGCCCCTGACTCTGGTAAGAGCAGCCTGCAGCACCATGCCACGGGAGGCCTGATTGATCACTGCAAGGTTCTTTGAATTGACTGCACCATGGATTACACCGTAGTTGAGCCATAGTGACTCCTGTGACCCACACATACACCTCCAGATGGCCTCCTGGAGCCAGAAAGTCTGAGAGAACAAGAAAACCGCAAAAATAGAAGACTAGCCCCTGCAGTGCCTGATTAACCGACCTTGCAACATTCCACCACTGCTTCTGCCTCAACTGATAAATCAACCTTGTGACACTGGACGCTGTGGCCTGATTAACCGACCTTGTGACATTCTACCGCTGTTCCTGCCTCAATGGATAGGTCAACCTTGTGACATTGGACCCTGTGACACCCCCCACCCCCAGCTTGCAAAACAAAACATCCTAAACTGTAACTTTCCATGGTCTGCTCCCAATCTATAAAACCAGCTCCTATCCCACCACCCTCTGTTGACTCTCTTTTCAGACTCAGCCTGTTCACATCCGAGCAAATAAACAGCCTTGTTGCTCACACAAAGCCTGTTTAGGCGGTCTCCTCATTCAAGGCACACTTAACAGCCACACCTTGCGTTTACAGACGAGGATTAGTAGGGTATGAGTAGGATCCTGCTGGTGCCAGGGAAGGCAATGCCGTATACATCTTTAGAAAGTTTTCACAAAGGCCTGAAGGACACAATCTTCTCCAAAGTCCCAATGTCGCTGTTTGCTGGCAACAATTCGAGCCAAAAGAGAAGTGGCACAGAATGCGCCAGGGGTGTGCTGCGTATAGCCCCGAGGACCACAAGGGCTTCCTGGGTCAGGTCTGCCATCTCTGGCTAAGATGGGCTCACCATCTAGGACCTTGACCAAGTTCCTGGACCACCAAGAATGCCCCACCAAGAGCCTCCTTCTTCTGGTGGCTTGTGCCTGCTTCCCATGGAGAACTCCAGAAGGGAGAAAACTATGAGGAGGTGGAGAATGTGGCAGGGATCCTAACTTTCTTGCTGAAGGAAGTTCTTAACAAGTACCCATCTGCCTTCAGGGAAGAAAACATAACTCATTTTTGTCTTTCAAATTCAATTCTCAAAACCAAATCCTGTTGTCAGCAATCTGTGTCCCAACGCCTTCCTCAGCAACAGCATTTTCCCTGTAGAATTAGTTTCCAATGTTCATTCTTAAATAATCCACAGAAGATTAAAAGGAATCCAGATACCCAGCACATTTTGTTTCCTTAGTGAGTAATTATCACATTTCTTTGGCTACTTAAATGCATTCTCTGAATCAGGTAAAGAAGATCGTAATAGTTAATCAACAACAAGTAATTATTGAGTACTTAACAATAGTCTCAGCACTTAATCATACTTAAAATTGACTATTAATGAACCTCATAAACCATTTTGCAACTCTGAAAGTGAATTTCTCTGCAGGCTTAGAGATTATTAAGCCATATAGATCTTACCAAACAAATATTATTCATGCTTTAATTCATGGGAAAAGAGATTTAGAAAATAAGGTTAATGTTCAGTTGTCCTTTCCTGAGTTTAACAATTGCATATTACATCTGGGATGCTCCGAACTCAGGTTAAACATTCTTCAAGTTATTCCCACATTCATCAAGTTATTTTCACATTAGCGACCTATTTTATTTTTATTACTATTACTACAGAAAAGGGCTAGGTGTGGTGGCTCACATCTGTACTCTCAGCACTTTGGGAGGCTGAAGCAGGAGGATCACTTGAGCTTGGGAGTTCAAGACCAGCCTGAGAGGGCGACTCTGTCTCTACAAATAATAATAATAATAAAAAAAATCAACCAGACATGGTGGCACGTGCTCATGGTCCCAGCTACTCAGGAGGCTGAGGTGGGAGGATCACGTGAGCCTGGGAGGCAGAGCCTCTAGTGAACCCTGGTTGTGCCTCTGCACTCAAGCCTGAGAGACACTCTAGTGAGACCCTGTCTCCAAACAACAAAATAAATAAATAAATAAATAAAAATGCAAATCCAAGGCATCAAGAAATAGCTTTGCTTTAATGTAGGCATTTAAGGTAAATGGGTCACATTTTCTTTTTTTAAAAAAAATTACTGACCCACAGAAAAACAAGTCAAAAAGCAGACTATTTCATATTAGTGCTTTTTTTTTTTTTTTAAAAAAAAAAAGAGGATTAATATAAATTGTCTTCTCACCTGTTTTTAAAATAAAGGATTGAATGATAGAACTTGACAACAAATCTAGTAGCATTATAAAAGCCTTTAACATGATAGCTGGAAAAGGTAAACAAAGAATAAGAGGGTGGAGAAGAAAGAGGACAGAGAGAATATGAATATTATCTACCTCTTTCTCAAGATAAAACTAATATTGCTTTTTAAAAAGATGTAGTTCTTTAAAGCAGGGGTCAGCAAACTTTTTCTATAAAGAGCCAGATAGTAACTATTTTATAATTTGCAAACCACATAAGTCCTCTGTTTCATATGTTTTTTTTTTCTTTTTTTTTTTTTTTAAAGCAATACTTTAAAAATATTGAAAATATTCTTAGCTCACATCTATACAAAAACAGGCAGTGAGCTGATTTGACTCACAGGTAGTATAGCTTGCTAATTTCTGCTTTAGATTTTAAGAATGAGGCAGGTGTTGCCAGGATTTGCTCAATAGTAATTTAATACAAGGTTTGCAAATAAAAGTGTTCTTGACATGAACAACTTGCCATTTTTAATGGAAAGACATGTATGGCCCTTTTTCAGAAAGTGGAAATTAATGCATAAAATTTTGTTTTCCTAACATAAAAGAGCTTTTTTTTCAAAAAATGGCTTCTCCATCTTGTGGCCCTTTGATTATGAAAGCTCTGAAAGCTTCAAAAAGCTTGCAAATACCCAACTTCAGGAACAAAATCACCGGAGACCCTCATCTGAAGGCAGGATCTTTCCCACAGCTTCAGGTCTTCCTAATCAGAAGCATTGTTTCTTAAACTAGACTCCAAGGACAACACCTAAAATCAAGTTCTCCACAAAATTCTTGTTTTGTGTTTTCATTTCTAGAGATAATAAAAATAATTGATCTGACCAAATTCAGGATCATCTAGATGATTGCTGTCAAAATAGACCTGACACAGGTATTTTCAGTACCCACTGAATCCTAGAGCTTTGGATACTTGTCTAGTCTGTTTGTGCCACTATAACAAAATGCCACAAACTGGGTGCTTGTAAAGAACAGAAATTTATTTTTCACCATTCTAGGGGCTGGGAAGTCCAAAATCAAGGCAGATTTGGTGTCCTCAAGTGATGGATGAATCAAGGGGTCTCTCTGGGGGCTCTTTTATAAGGGCACTAACCCCGTTCATGAGAGCAGAGCCTAATTACCTCCCTAAGGTTCCACCTCCTAATACTATAACCTTGAGGCTGAGAAGGGAAATATGAAAATACCGTAGTCCTAATAATAGGCATATCGGTGAGGAACAATATCACAGTATCATGTAGTTAGGAAGACTTTGCTGCAATTTGGTTAAAACAGAAGTCGTGGGTGGACACAGTCATCAGACAGTCCAGTAGCGGTATCCATGTACTCACTCAAAGGAGCTGCACTGCGGTCATGGAAGCCCTGTGCTTGCTACTAGCAGTGATTTAATTTCTGCAAAGCCAATGATCACATTCAACTATGCTAGTTAACTTGAATTTTACTGAATTTGGCTTAGGTAGGTAGTTTGTAAATTTATTTTAATTTTCTACTTGTATAAGGGGTATAATTATAAAAACGTCAGGTCAGCACCACAGGTCTATGAGAATCTGTGTTCTGTAAAAAATGCCTATTTCTTACTTGGTGAAAAACATTAGTCAATGTTTCACCAAAAAGAAAAACAAAACCCAAAGCTATAGATCAGATATTGACTAAAATGAATATACAAAAATCTCGACTGAAGATATTTTAAGTCAGAGCTAACAGTCTATTTCAGGTATTGCCAGAACAAATTCCAGAAGCAGAATAATTGAAACTGTCATGTTGAAATTGATTACAATGAGAAGAAATTGACTGAAACTTGTTACCTCCTTTACCAAAATATAGCCTTTCTTTCCTTTTTTTTTTTTTTTTTTTTTGCGACAGGGTTTCGCTCTTCTTGCCCCGGCTGAAGTGCAATGGTGCGAACTCAGCTCACTACAACTTCCACCTCTCGGATTCAATGATTCTCCTGCCTCAGCCTCGAGAGTAGCTGGGATTACATGCATACACTACCACGGCCAGCTAATTTTTGTATTTTTTGTAGAGATAGGGTTTCTCCATGTTGGTCAGGCTGGTCTCGAACTCCTGACCTCAGGTGATCCCGCCTGGCTCGGCTGCCCAAAGTGCTGGGATTACAGGAGTGAGCCACCGTGCCCAACTAGTCTTTCTTATACTATCAAATGTATTGAAAAAAATTGTGAGCACTTTCTTGTACAACTTCTAAAAATTTAGCTTTGCTTTTGTTATCTGAATATTGTACAGGAATATGAGCATGCAAATAAGATCTTTGTTCTAAGTTTTTTTAATAACTAAATATGGTGGCATTAAATAATAAATGCATTTTCAAAATATGAATAGTCTCTCATTTGATTCAAATTAGATGAGTTGTTTTGCATGCTTTTTGTCTATTATGCAATTATTGTCTTGGTTTAAATATAACCTAATAGCTGACTCTGCTTTCCTATGCTATGCTGGATTCCTAGCTAAAATGAAATCAGTATGCTAGTAAAATATTTTTCGTACATATTATTTGGAACTTTGCTTCTCAATTCTATAAAAAGAATTCACTTTGGTATCTGTATTTTTTTCTCTTGTGTGTTAATACACATATGGTCCTTTTTGGGTTAACTACCCCTTTAAGCTAGGCTAAAAGGATAAAAGCAGTAGCTTGTATGTTTTGGTCTCAGGCTGCCTTTACACTTTTAAGAATTGTTGAGAAACTTAAAGAGGTTTTGTTTATATGGATTAAGTCTATTGCTATTTACCATAGTATAAATTAAAACTCAAAAATGTTAAACTATTTTAATGTATTTAAAATAATAGTAAACTCATTACATGTCAACATAAATAACACATTTTATGAAAAGTAATGATGTTTTCCAAAGCAAAAATAGAAATATGCCTTTATTTTACATTTCTGCAGATCTTTTATGCCAGGCCTAAAACAAGATAGCTAAGTTTTAATTTCTGTTTCTGCACTCAATTTGTTGTATTATGTTGCTTTGGTTTAAGTATTTGGAGAAAATCTTGTTTCATACAAATGTGTAGTTGGAAAAGAAAACAGTATTTTCACAGCATTTTCAAATAATTAATTATGAATGTTCTTCTTTGATACTATACTAAAACTCAGCAAGTGATAACTTCTTACAGGTTTGTTCCAAAGCAATACCTGAAACTATATCAATAAAATTTTCATACTCTGTTAGATCAAACTTCATTGGTCTAAAAAATTCATTGCTCTATCTAGTACTTTAGACAGACATTTGACCCATGACTTTTGTAATATTAAGTATTGGTCATCTGGAAAATTTGGTTCCATGAGATATGCTGATCTTGTAAATGTTGACCTATGTCACTATGCAGTATCAAAAATCATCGTCGATCTCACCAGAACAACAACAACAAAGTGTTGAAGTTTTCAAAGCTGTCAAGTTTGTAATGGCAGCTACAAGTTTTCCAAATTCTAATTTTTACTTTAAAGCCCAGATTTCATTATTCACAACAAATACTGCCAAATCTTTTCTTGAAATGACAGACCCACTTTGTTCCTTTTTTTTAAAAAGTCTGCCAATACCAGTGTTTGAAGAACTACAGTTTATCTGTCAGTTGTTCTTTCAAATAAAATAGTATTTCATGAAAAGAGTGGCTAGTTCAGCCCCCTACTCAGTTGCATAAGTGCTTTTCCTTGAGACAACCACCATACTTCAGTAGGCAGCAGAGGTGCTTTCTGTGTACTTGACATAGCTTGGATGTTTATCCCTGCTCAAATCTCATATTGAAATGTAATCTCCAGTGTTAGAGGTGTGTCCTTGTAGGAGATGATTGGACCGTGGAGGTTTCTCATGAATGGTTTAGCACCATCCCCTTGGAACTGCCCTCACAAAAGTGAGTTCTTGTGAGATCTGTTCATTTAAAAGTATGTAGCACCTCCTCCCTTGCTCTCTTGCTCCTCCTCTGGCCATACAACGGGCCTGCCCCACCTTTGCCTTCCTCCATGATTGTACAT